ATTTTCTTTTACAAGGGGCAGGACAGCTGGTTTCATAAAATCATAGACTCTTGCAGCAATCTTTAATTGTGAAACGGTTTTGTCATTATGCGCATTATTTCATGGCCTTTTAGAAACCTTGAAAATGGGTGCTCATGCAACGTAACTTTACAAACAGCTATAAAACAGGGATGTATACACGTTGCTGTTCATTGTTTTGGCTTTAAATTAAGGAGGAAGTTAAAATGTGCCATGTTCATGGTAGGAAATTGAACCAACCAGTTCAAATAAGGACTTGAGAAAATTAGATGGATCTAACACTGTTAATATATAGATCCATGGATCGATATATTTGGGCAAAATCTATTGTCTTCAGTAGCAGGATAAGTAAATCACACATTCGACATAAAAATGTGTTTGCAGTTGGATTAAATTAACGGATTCTATCTAAATTGCATTGAAATGCTATTTGTTATAAATTGGTCTTTATATAAATTGAGCTGAAATGAAACTGAACTGAAAATTTAAAAGCTATCCTTTACTTTTTTTTTATCTAATTATGTAAAAAAAAAACATTACAGATTGAAGATGAGATATGAGCTGATAGTTTTTTTTTATAAATATTTGTTTTCTGTCTCTTTTTTTAGCCCTTTTCTGGACCTCCCAATCATACAGATGGCTTGCTCTGATAATAATAAGGGGGGTTTGGAGGAGGACAGTTATGATGGAGGAGCAGGTGGTGAAGAGCAATCTGGCTGTGCCTTGGCAATGATGGAAAAAGAAAGGGAATCCCTTTTAAGCCCATTGGATAGTTCTGGCACCTTAATGAGCAGTTCATCTGGTAGTCTCCAGGCTGCTGCCCCCCTTCAGGGCTATGATGTGGAATTTGACCCACCCCTCGAGAGTAAATATGAATGCCCTATCTGCTTGATGGCCTTAAGGAATGCAATCCAAACACGCTGTGGTCATCGGTTCTGCAAGAGCTGTATTGAGAAATCTATTCGGTAGGTAATTTTTCTGAGAATTTAACTGATATTTGAATCGAAAACAAAGGTTTTGCTTTTAAAACATTGTATTCTCAATACTGCCACCTGCAAATAACCTAGCCCCAATACCCTCATATTTGTGAATAAAATGAAACATTTCAATTGTTTTCCTGCCCAAATATAAAGCCCGGTGTGGATGCTGATTATGTTAATGCCTTGCATAATTAATTGCTGTTTTCCTCTTGCAAAACAGTGATACAGGACAGCGGTGCCCTGTGGACAATGAAATGCTGTCAGAAGATCAACTGTTTCCTGATAATTTTGCCAAAAGGGAGATTCTATCGCTAACTGTTCGTTGTCCAAACTCTGGCTGTGCTGACAAAATGGAGCTCCGACATTTAGAGGTTAGCATTTAGATGGAAGAAAACACGATTTGCAATGAAGTTCATCCAAGAGGATGGAAAAAAATGTCCCAGTAGGCATCTGTTATAAAACCTCAATGAATTACAGGAGTAAAGAAGGTAGAACAATTCAGGACCAAGATGGAAAACAATGGTAGACTTAACTTTTTTGCTGATTCCAATCCACAAAAGCAGAAAGCACAAACTTTTTATGTTATTTGTCCTCAATCCTATTTTGTTTAAATTGCATTGGAGATCATTCTAAGTAACAAATAACTGATTTTTGTGACTATTTTATTTTTATGTTATGAAGCCAGTTGTGAAATTTAATTCATTCATTTGTTTTCTTTTTTCCAGAATCATTTGCTCGTGTGTCAGTTTGCCACTGTACCTTGCCCTCAGTGTCAAAAACCTGTAAGAAAGAGCTACATTGAGGAGCACAAAACTGCTGAGTGTCAAAGAAGACCTATGACATGCCCAGACTGTGTGACATCCTTTGTTTATGAGGAGAAAGAGGTACTACATCTCACTATTGGGCTGGTATATTGAAGTGTGATATTACGGGCTGTAAGAATAATGTTGTTTTTTTTTATTAAAAAAGAAAAGAAAACACGTTCATAAAGTAAAACACTGGTCTTTTTGACATTTACTGAACGTTTTTATTTTGGTATCTATCCAAATAGAAATTCAGTCTAAACACTAATTTAAAAGAAGTTGTCTTGTGTTTATAATACAGAATATTATACCTTTAGGATGTTTGCAATTTATAGCGGTTATCAAGTGTAGCAGCATCATATTTAGGTAATTAGTGGGGCTATCTTCATAATATAGTTTTTCTTGTTATTACTGATTTTTTCCTGCATAGTTGTATAGTAGTTTGAAAAAGCCATTAAATTATGCGAGCAATAGCTTGCACTCTTTTAATTTTGCCACAGCATGACAGTCTTTCCATTAAAAACAAGGGTGATATGTAGATGCTTTTCCAGCTATCAAATACTAATGAGGAACAGAAAATGATAATAAAAATGTTAACGGGATGCTTTAAAATGCAAAAGGATGCACAGTGCATGTGGCCAATCAGGTTATTCTTCCTTCTTTTAAAAGAGGAAACAAAGATTTCCAACCAATTATGTAATTTTTTTTATTAGCATTATTTTTGCACATTTCTTTTTTTAACTCTTTGTAATTAATAATGCTGTACAATACATAAGGGAATTGTGGGGTTATGGTAATGTTTAAAACTAGATCTAATCATTTATTAATAATTGATGTTTTAATTCCTACAAATTCAGAAACCGATGTGATTCTTATTATTTCCATTGTTTAATTTGATTTTAAACCATAAAGCAACAGAAAGACAGAGCATTTAACATCCTTTAACAACTTGACATCATAGTTAACTTTGATATGAGTATCTGGCCTATGCCTAATCATTACTATAAAATGGTACTGAGGACAACAAGAACCTGTTTTATGATCTTACTCTGTTTTTGTCTCGTTTTCCTAGCTACATGAGCAGCAGTGTCCGTTTGCTAGTGTGATGTGTCAATACTGTGAGATGGATCTAATCAGAGACCAGGTAAGAGCCGTAATACAGGAAATGAGCCGTTAAATGTTTGACATATTTAGAGCTTACATTTTTCCTCTTTGTTGTAATTTTAGGGAACTGTTCCAAACCCAGTACTAATGCTCATGCGGCTTAAATAACACTTTATTGTTCCATTGTAGTTGAAGTTTAGTGTTTCTGTGTCTGATCCTGCCAAATGCGTTTTCTTTAAAACTGATTCATGTTGATCGTTTTCTTTTTTCCTTTTTTTAAGATGGAATCTCATTGTGATACGGATTGCCCAAAAGCACCCATTGCCTGTAACTTTAACATCTTTGGATGTAAGGAAAGGGTATGTAATTTGTTTTTAATCAAACAAAAGGTTTATTTAACAGAGCTGCTGTCGCATTAAATATGTCTGAGCCATAACTGCTTTATATTTGCAGATGCAGCGCCATGACTTGGCTCAGCACATGCAGGAGTTCACACAGATGCATATGCGCTACATGGCAGAGTTTTTACGCAGCCTAAGCCTTAACGGCACGTCGCCCAAACCCCTTCGAACGCTAGGGCCTTCTGTTTCCTATGAGGACATTGGTGCTGCTGCTTCAGTGTCAGCCTGTGGGGGGCCCAGAGGGGCTGCGAGCTGCAGCATCAGCTCAGCTTCATGTCAGCCCAGTCAGGAGATGCAGAGGCTCCGAGAGATGGATGGGCGATTGGTGAAGCAAGACCACCAGCTGCGGGAGCTCATCATATTAAAAGAGACACAAGTAAGAGCTGATCAAGTTGAGCTCATTATCATTCCTAATATCTAACGTCAGATCTGTTGAAGAAGAACCATTTATTGCATTTCATGTTGATTTGAGTCATTAGTATTGACTTGAGCAGACTATTTAACTCTCTTTTTTGTGTTACACTGGGTCCATCTAATTTTAGTAAGCTTAACTATACTGTTGTCACTTCACTAATGCTTAAGAATGCTGGTAGGTTAAAGGAATAGTACACCCAAAACATGATTAGCCTTCATTTTCTACTCACCCCCATGCTGAACAACACTCTGGAGTACTTTTTTGATATCTCAAATGCATCTGGAGATCTGGGAGGCTTCTTGCTGTCTGCTGACATTCAAATAATGGAGGTCTATGGTGCCCGAGACAGAAAGGTCCATAAAAGTCCACAAAAAACGTGTCAATATTCCTCCATACTGCTCGTCCTGAGTGGGTAGCATCCAGAATTTACTCGAAACGAAGTCATTTAGAATGTTTTTAGAGCATAAACAGTAGTGTATAGGATTTCCTGAAAGCGCGTTCATGACGCTACGGAAGCCGGCAGACCAAACCAGATGAAAGTGCGCATTCAGCGTCTGCTCTGCCAATAATGCAAGCGTAGAAGAAGAAATGTGCTGTTTACCTTTGCAAAGAAAGAAACAACAAAAGAAAAATGTGTGAGGACTTCAGTGTTGAGGAAGAGCATGAGTTCTTTGCCGAGCTGAATGCGCTGGTTTGGTCTGCCGGCTTCCGTAGCGTCGTGAACGCGCATGTGCGCGCTTTCAGGAAATCCTATACTCTACTGTTTATGCTCTAAAAACATTCTAAATGACTTCGTTTCGAGTAAATTCTGGATGCTACCCACTCAGGACACTTGGAATACATTGGACGAGCAGTATGGAGGAATATTGACACGTTTTTTGTGGACTTTTATGGACCTTTCTGTCTCGGGCACCATAGACCTCCATTATTTGAATGTCAGCAGACAGCAAGAAGCCTCCCAGATCTCCAGATGCATTTGAGATATCAAAAAAGTACTCCAGGGTGTTGTTCAGCATGGGGGTGAGTAGAAAATGAAGGCCAAACATGTTTTGGGTGTACTATTCCTTTAATTTCTTTCCAGCCGTCTTATTCTTTCTTTGCAAGTAGGTCAGCAAGCAATGTGTTACGTAAAATGTTGTTTACTTGTGAGAGCCATTAACTCACTTTATCTATTTATTTGCAAGATCTCTGCTACTATGGAAGTGGTCATGTCTGTCAGTAAGCTGATGTCTTTTTACATGAGTCCATCTGCTGAATGCTCATATTAGAAATTTGCCCCCATGTTGGTCTGGATGGCTCTGATATGGTTTGTGTTTATAGTCTGTAACAAATGCAATTAATCTGTACTAAAACGTACATTATTCTGTTATAAGTCTGACTTTGGATCGATGAGTGATTAAAATGAAAGGCAGCACTGAGATATATCAATCAGTGCTATCTGCTCATAAAGGAAGACTCATCTCCTTTTTAAACCATATAAAAGGGATTGCAGCATCTTGTTAAAGTGAGGGTTTATAGGTGGGGTTATAGAACAATTCACTAATCTATTGGTATAAACGTAACATACGGTCGATGTGCTGTATAACATGTAGGTTTCAAATCTTTAAAAACTAACCGATCCCCTTTCATTGGCAGGCAGGGCAGCTTGCTGAGCTCAGGCGTAGAGTCTCAATGCTGGAGGAAACTGTGAAAGAGTTGGAGGCCCAGCAGTGCCATGGGATCTTTATCTGGCGCCTCAAAGGTTTCTCTGTCCTCCTGCGGAACCAGGAGGCGAGCATGCCAGTGGTTGAGCACAGCCCTGGCTTCTACACGGGCCGCCCAGGCTACAAGCTGTGTCTACGTTTACACCTGCAGACACCCAACGCCCCACGCTGCTCCAACTACATCTCCCTTTTTGTCCACACTATGCAAGGAGCTTTTGATGGGCAGCTGACTTGGCCCTTTCAAGGGACGATCCGGCTGGCCATTTTAGACCAGGGACCCGAGTGTCAGCATCACATGGAGGTCATGGAGACAAAGCCAGACCTGCAAGCCTTCCAGAAACCCATAAATCCACGCAACCCCAAAGGATTCGGCTACGTCACCTTTATGCACCTGCAGCAGCTGAGTCAGAGAGCTTATATTAAAGATGATACTCTGCTGATCCGCTGTGAGGTTACGCCACGCTTTGATGGCGCATTTAATCGGGAGGGACCAGCCGTACAGCCGAGAGGGCCCGAAGCCTCACTTTCAAGAGAATAAGGTCAAGCTGCTTTATATGGGATTGTTGTCATGACAGTTGAATAGAGCACAACTAACAAAGTTTCAGTATTGTCTCTTTATTATAATTCATGCACATTAGAATTGGTAAAATCAAAGCTTCCTTTCATCAAAGTTCTAGTATTTATTGTTTTTTAATGTTTCAATCTTCGTTGCATTCATGAATGTGTTTTAGGTTCTTCCCCTTCATGATCTGATTTGATCTTGGGGTATTGTTGGATGCCTTGGAGGAGATATGGTACAGATTAGTAGTGATCTTTTTCTAAATATCATAGTCATGCATAAGTGGAACAGTTTATAACTTTATGGACCTTTGGCATTCATCGGTTTCTGATTCACCTAGTTTAACTGGGATCAAGGTCAATACAGATTTAACAAGTGAAAAAAATGATTGAAAACAACTCAGCCAGTCTTTGGAAAATGATTTTATTGAATCCACAGTTTGCATTCTAACAGTTCAGAGAAAATGATTGAAGATTAGTGTCGCATCATCAGGACAAACCCTTATCTAACATAATCACTATGGACATGGAAAAAAAGAAAGCAAGAAAAATGATTTTTTTGTGTTTTTTTTTTTTCTTCAAATCAGTAAAACAAAAAGCAAATAACACACTGTTCTATAAGTCACACTGTCTCTATCTGGAGACGTCAATCCACTGGGATGCAGTACGCTGGATATTTATGAGAGCTGGTAGCAAAGCTTTCAAATCAGTGCATGTCTAAAGATATTTGCGCAAAGTTAGTTTAAAACAGAACAAATGTATTACTCTGCATTTAAATCAAAACATCACTGCCTATTTTATGTATGTTATGAAGAATGTTGTTAATAAACTTGTGGTGTACAGTCTAAAATCTGTGTGCTGCATTCTGTTGGTTAAGCCTCAGATCATCTGAGAAAGCTGGGTTTAAAATCACAAATCATGATCAGACATTTGGAATGAAACAGGCAGACCATCATTAATGTTTGTAAAAGATGTATTTTTTTTCTGCAATTTTGGCTGAAATAAGTGGGTTTAATGGTAATTTGTGATTTGTTTCATATTCCTGGGTAATGTGATCATCATACATTTAAATTTAACATATAGAAATGTTATGTAATAACTCACAGTTTTTTTACTGCAAGGCAAATGTGCTGCTTGTTAGCCTTTAAGTGCAATTAGTATTTACTTTTGTGTTCTGCTTTACAAAGATGTCATATTTGACCATGTAAACGATATGTGCTTTGAAAACATACAATATTATAGGTTGGTTTAAGATTGTTATACAATACATGTTAAAAAGTCCCTGATGATCTCTGTTGTACTTATTAGAAACCCATATTTTAAGATACACAGGAAGTGAATTTGAAAATGGTTTCACTTGCTGCATTATAAAGAACCTATTGAAATAAAAAGATATTGCTTTTACAAAGTTCTTAATTATTCAGAACTTTTTTAATTGCTGAGCCCTATTTTTTTCTATATAGCTTAAAGCCAATTTACAGTAGCAGTCATTTTTATTTTTCTGTTGGGATACAGTGTGCAAATTTCTCTTGGAATAAAAGGGAAACGGTCGTGCTGCTCTCACAATGAAGATAATCCCATAGAACTTCACGATCATCGTTAAAAAGGGGATACTACTGAAGGTCGGGTGAAAACCAGAAGGGGAAGCGGAAGAGTTGGATTGGCCATCTGTTACTAGATGTTGTGACTATTATTCATCGATGTAAGGAAATTTCTTGTTGGCTCCATATCCTGGGTGACCAGGTTTAGATTCTTCCTCCTTTTGTCTGGCTTCTTGCTCCTGATGACTTTGAGACGTTTCTGCAGTGCTGTCTGCTTTGGTGCCTGTTAGAGATGCTGACATTTAACACATTGTTAGTACAAAACTGGACATAAAAACGCACCAGTATCTTATATCCTTTAGTGAGTTTTTAAAAATGTTTTACTGACTTGGAGCTTTTGGAGCATCCTTTTCACATTTAAGTGTGCTTTTTGTAAAGCACTCTGCCATCCAGGACAGCACCTCTGCACAATATCTAACCTACAGTGAACACATTATCCAATGTCTCAGCAATTACAGCATTAAAACATCCATACAAGGCTCCTGGGTGATGCAGCAAATCTACCTGAGATTCCACTGATACTAGTCGCTTCTCTTGGTCCTTAAACCTGCCAACAATTTTAAGCAGGTTCTGAACCCTGAAAAAATACACAGAATAGTTTGATTATGAAAATAACTTCTGATTATTAAATAGAGCCTAACATTGTTTGGTTTGCACATACTGGTTATGTATGTAAGAGGAAATAGGAATGACTAAAAACAGACTAGCTGATAATTATCTAAGATTGAGAGTTTACAGATTTGTGTTCCTTTAAGCTGCAGGATAATTACTTTGAGGAGGTGCTCTTGAGTCTCTCCTCACTGCTCTCCCAGTGCTGGCGCTCCACTTTTGCCAGGTAATTCTCTTTCTGCACTGTCTCCCATGTTATGAGCCTCTGGTCTAGTCCTGCTGGCAGCTCCCTCTCTGCAAAAACACAGGAAGAAACGGCACTCAGACGGAGCTAAAGAAACACCTAAACTAACAGAATTCCTTCAAAAATAAAAAGGTAAGGTGCAGAGAAAACAGCATTGTGTGTTTTGAAGTACTTCAGCCTTCATAAATAATTCCCCTTTGGCTTTAAAGACCCAAAGGGAAATCTGATTGTAGAACCTGCATACCAAGGTGTTCCTGTTTAGACTCGGGCCGTTTGACCATGCAGAGGAAGAGCTGAGAGATGTGGCTGATGATGATGAAGGGTGGGGCCAGCGCAGGACGGCTGTAGTATTCCACAATCAGGTTATATCTCTGGAACTTCCAGAAGATGTCCGTGTTACCCTGCACCACTTGGAAGGTGTAGCTGCAAATTAGGAAATATTTAGCAGTTTCATTTTGGTGTTATTTTTTAAACTATTCTTAGAACTATTTTTAACAATTTCAAATGTAAGGGAAAAAAATACTTTATTACTAAAAACTAACAAATATTTTATGGGCAATACCAATGGTCCTTAACCCTGTTCCTCAGGGGCCCCTGTCCTGCATGTTTTAGATGTTTCCTTGTTGCATCATATCAGAACAGAATAGATTTAAACAGGCTTTTACTGCACTTAATGGTAGAAAAAGAGCCCTGATTTGAATTGGTTGTGCTGACACAGACACATATCTAAAACATGCAGGGCAGGGGTCCCTGAGGACCAGATTTGGGAATCACTGTGGCTATACAGCAGATTGTAAACGGGAAGGGACATGAATCAGGTTTTTGAAATGAGTGGCATGCATTTTTTTCCCTTCTGAATGATTAAAATGTCTGTAGATTCATAATTATACATTTCTGATAATTCTATTTGGGGTTTTTTCTTTACCTGTGAGACACATTCATTAAAACTACAACATAAAGGTTTTACATATTTCTCTATGTATAATGACCGTTATATACAGGTTTCAGTTCTGGAAATAAGGAGAACATATTAATTGTTTCCCATGAGGTTTAGTCAAATTGGGTCAAAAGAATCTGTTAACTGCAATTTCTAATTGAAATTCTTGTTTAGATTCAGGTCTGGAATTAGATACGAGTCCCTCTAATGCAAATACAGTGGTGTGTTCAAGGCTAATCTGCCACATTTAGAATTTTAATATAGGTCAACAAGTTCAATGTGGTCTAAGTGTCCAGATCCACTTTTTCTAAATGTTTGTCCTTTCCCTCCCAATAATTAATTTTTCATAGTTTTTATTTTTCTAAAACCATGCATGAAAATATTTTCAAATCCTAAACATGCCTTATTTATATAGATATGTCTCATAAATCTCCAGTAAAATACATTGAAATTTGTGGTTGTGGCATTTCATTATTTCTTCCAGTGCTACCGGTTTTAATCCCTTTTGGCGAAACTGATTCAGAAAGGGTTAGAAACAACTTTTAATGTTTCACACAGCAGTTGTGTGTATGATCAGCTTCCTGTATGTAATATGAGCCCTCAACATACCTGAACATGGCAATGAGGAGGTTAAGCAGAAGCACATTGGTGACAAGAAGGAAGATAACTAGCAGTAGAATGACCAGCCAGTTGGCGTACAGATTGGGGCATGGCGGTAGCAGACCCTGGATAATCTCTTCTGGTTCATTGGTGCAGTTAATATCCGGGAACCGAGCAGCTACAGAAGATTTCAGGAGAGAAGAAGAAGAAAAACCGCAGAATAAAATATTTCCGGACACTTATTGAGTTAAAATTAAAAGTCATTCCTGCTTGAATCCATCAGTGTCGTATTACATATTACAGTTAATTTAAACTACAATATATTTTCAGGAATAAGATGAATAAAGACAATATCAAATTCATTAAATGACACTCTTTAACATGTCTTTCTTTTACCATCTATTTCCTCCAGGGGGATTTGTCCAAATATGTGCAGGTAAGGGCGGTATAAAGCTCTACGAAACACCCAGTCAATCCTTGGGTCATTGGGGTGGAGAAGAGCCTGTGTAGCTACGCCATAAGCAATTAGCCACACACTCAGAAAAAAGAGGAAGAAGAAAACATCCTTCATCTGTAAGACACAAATATTGTTCTCCTTTATGACCATTTTAGTTGGAACAATTCCTAAATCTTGACTTAAATTGAGAAAAATGTAAAATTAATTTGGCACAATTAACAGATTTTGGTCACCATTCTTTCCACAATGATGATCTTGGGGCCAAGTTGCTTGTTTATAGCAAAGATGTGGATGAGACGTAAAGTGAAAACCATAAAATCTATGGCCATAACCGTCCGCCCCGCTTCATAGGTGCCATTGGACATTCTGCAAGATCAGATGCAAACACTGGTCCAAAACAGCAATTCCATCGTATATATTCTAATAGTCTTGCTTACACTGTTGTAACAATACATTTCCAGAACCTTTAAGGATTTTATTGAAAATGTTCTTTCCATTTATATTGCTGCTCAGTACCTGCAGGAAACCCCAACAACAAAGAGTAAAATGGCCACCATGTCACACTTGTTCCAGTTGTCCTCGACATACAGCTTAAATTTCTTTAGGATGCTCATCTCTTCGTCAGTGAAGAAGCTCTGTTATAAAAAAGATAATAATAATAATCCCACCAAACTGTTATTGTAATTTGCAAAAAGATACCAGGACCTCTTTAAAGAAGCGTAGCTTTCTAACCAATTAAATCATTGTATATACAGTACATGAATGTCTATGTTTATATGGATAAATGTATGTTTGAATAGCCAGATAAAGCAACCATGGGAAGCTCCGCTGTAAAATGGGTCTTCTGCACCCAGGGGAGGAGGGCTCTAAGGGATAACTGCAAGAAGCGATCATGCTTATCTGACCTGGCTCCCAGAGAGCGAGTAATGCAGAGAGGTGAGAGCCTCATGGGTCCTCAAATTCCCTATAGAGAATGAGCTCACTCTAGAAAATCACATCATCGCCTACTCAGATGTGCCTGACTTGTCAGGACTGAATACTTTAGCACATCTCATAAAAGTGCTGCTCCTTCACTAAAGGTGTGATGTC